CTTAGACCGGTCCTGGTCCTAGATCAGGACCTGTTTAAGTTGTTTTAGACCGGTCTAAAAAGTGTCATATCCACATCTAATAAGATATTATGAGGTTAGACTAAAATGACTTAGAATTATGAAAATAGGGTGTTAAGAAGTAGTCTTATTCACTAGCTTCATTTTAAATGTTGTCCATGCTATGTATGTTTGTCGTTTTACTATTGTGCCCCTATAATTTTAGCTTGTATTGTTAGAACATGTTTCATGCTTTAGTTTGCAATATTTACTCACTTATTACCATTGCTCGTATTGTTCACATTTTCATATGTAGGAAATCACCTAGTTTGGAATTTGGACTCACATTCTTTTAAATATCTAATATATCCAGAGCAAATTAAGAAATTGCAACAGGAATTTTATAAATTAATCAGACCAAAATTCAAACAAATCATGAGAATTGCCTTCTCTTCAAAGTTGAAAGATCTAATTCTGGTAATACCACAACCAGTTTGTCCCAAAAAAAAATATCAGCACTTATTATCAAGATTCATACAATTTATCCTTTCAAATATCCCAAAATAGGATGAAAAAAAAAAAAAAAAAATCACATTTGATAATCAAGACATGCCCACTTCATTCAGTTGGCCTCTGTCCCAAAACAGGAATATCCTCATACCGTTTCTGCATAAATAAAATATCACTACAATATTAGATTCAAAAAAAAAAAATCACTTTATGTATCATACAAATAAATAAATCTGGACATTACCCCAACATTGTTATTCTCCCAGAGTTTATGAACTCCATAGTCAACTGCCTGAAACACATAAATCATAACAACTCCATTACTCAATCACATTCTTTTATTATCTTTCTTGATAACCACATGTAAGTCACTAAACCACCATTTTTAGGGCACCATTCTTATACAAACTCAATTCGGTCATTCACCAATCATCTTGAGAAAGAGGGGTGTTAATATGTATAATTAAACAGCTCTCGTTAAGTCATTATGTATAGTTGATATATCAATTGTAATTTCCATGTTCAAAGGCATAACCATATGGCAATGTTTGTCAAAACCCTACATTTGTTCACCAAAATGTTCCTTCATTGTAATCATCAAGGCAATCAAGGTAGTTTCAGCTAAAAGTTGTTTTTTTCCTAGACCTAAAATCATTGATTCAAAGCTATAATATGATATATTTATCTTTACAGCGTATTAAGATGTTTATTTCCTTAACCTATAGGTCAAATCTATGAGCTAGTTCCTAAACGCAGGCAAGATGTTTTGCTCCACCGTTTCGAAATTCTAAATAACATGGATGGGGAATATGAGATGGAGTCAGACGTTGGGGAAACAAAACAAATCGATTAAATTAGGATAAAGAAAGTGATTCATAGATGAAAGTTGATAATCCACAACAAAATCAGATCTAGAGCGACAACATGAAGGATAATCCACTCTATGGACATTAAGAATTCAAACCTGAGAACCTGATTAATCTAACGGAAAATAGAATCGAGGAATATGTATGCGTATTGTAATATATATATATAAGATTAGAATGGATCGGAACGCTAACCCGTTCACCGACGAAAGCACCGGCGATAACGAAAGTGACGTAGACAGAATTACGGCGCATAAGGACTTTGTAAAGTCCTTCGAATAGTCCTCCGGTTCTCCGAGCTGCCGAACTCATGGCGATGGTGTAATCTCTTCCTCTTGTTGACGGGATCGGAGCAGAAATGGTGTTTGGGTGTTTGTGTTTTGGCCGGTCTAGGTTTACTCACGCTGCTTTTTGTTCGTGGTAATATGGTATGAACCCGAACCGGATCCGTTCCGGATCTATAGCTTAAGAACTTAATTGGACCTACGACTGAAGGTATGTAGCTTTTATATCCTGAAAATTAATTTCTGTAGTTTTTAATAAACTAAGATATAAAATAAGTAGGTTTAAGATACAAGAAGGTTACGAATTATGCAATAAGAGCATTCACAATTCGTTAAGCTTTCTCGTTAAATTCCAACACTAACTTATTGATTCAGAAAATGAATTGTTACACAAAAACATACAAAAATTTTCTAGAGATGGTACCAACACCTATTAGAAAATGAATCGTTACACAAAAACATACACAAAATTTCTATACATGTTTATCAAACATTCTTTGCAGACGACATGCAAGCAGAGCCGATTCAACCAGTTTGGAGCTCTAAATGAACAAAAAATTTGGGGCTTTTTAGTATTTACTATACTCAATATTATAAACACTCCTCCATTATCCAGGCATATGACCGATAATAATAAACTAAAAAGTTTATAAATGGTAGAGCTAAATTATTATTATTATTATTATTATTATTATTATTATTATTATTATATGCTTTGTGAATAAATTTAAGACATAAAATTAATTTTTCTAGCTTTTTTAGATGCAATAAACAATCACCAAGACAACCAATATAAGTGTAGAAGATATGGATTAGGATTATATCACCCATCAGATAATGTAAAACTCAAATCTAAAAAATTGAAAATTTTACTCCAGCTTCATTCGCATCAATAGTAATCAATCAGCAGTTAACAATGAAATCTAGAATCAAAAATATAAGTGAAAAGATTAACCCTAATCGGCTATTAAGCCTAAATAATGAAAAAAAATCAAAAGTGGAAAGTGAAAACACAAACACATTACCGTTTCAGTGTCCAGTGACAACTTTGAATAGTTAAATCATCAATGATTTTGAACAATGGAGTCTATGGAGAAACCGAGAATGAATAAGGAAAAATAAGAATTGAATAACAAAAGGTATTTTCAACGTCTATCAGTGTGGAAGAATCGAGATCGGAGATGCCTAGAAGGCTAGAACTGAGAATCAAAGTTCAAGAATGGAGAAGAAGAAGAACAGAAGTGCAATCGTAGAGAAGAAGAAGAATAAGAAGAGTAATCGTCAGTTGTAGTTGATCAATACTTTTGATTTTTGGGGAGTCAGACGCGTGATCGATACATAAGAGTAAACGTGTGAAACTGGATTGCGAATTAAGTGGGCCCCCTTAAAAATTGAGGCTCTAAGCCCTACCCTTACTCAAATGTACATAAGGCCGACCTTGCATGCATGCATTTTATATAGGTTGATTCAGACGACAACTACATGTACATTAATTATTGTAAGCTATTGGTTAATTTGTAATGAAATATTCACTAAAATGACCAAAGGAATGCCCTTTTAAGTTGCTTAGTTGTCTTCTTTACAATTATATTAAAAAAATACAAATTTTGTGAGGTTAAAGAAACAATACAAAATCGAAGATTATTTATCAACTTACTTGGTATAACTCATCATATATGCTAGATCACCATTTTTATTTGCATTCTCTACACTGTCTTCATCAAATGACATCCTTTATGAATGTTATGAGAATGTTGTGTTCTAGTATTTTTGTTTTCTCCATCGTCACATGGTATATATATACTAGATAATAACAATATTATGAACAATTAGTGATATCTTTCGCGAGCCGTGTAAGTAACTGGATAGACGCGATACTAACTAAGAAAAGAGTATATTCTACAAAAAAAGAAGTCAAAATTTTACTTGATAAACGTAAGTTAGCGAGTAGTCCAACATTTTTTATGGGGATTACAACTCTTATAGATAAATTAAATTTTGACGATCTTCTAAAATATTTTAGAATCATGTCACTCAATAACTCAAATTACAAATCATTTAAAAGCATGATTTAAAATAGGGCCATCATTTTTTATACCGAGTTATCCAACATTATTTCGTAGGAATCACAACTTCTATAGATAACTAAAATTTTGATGATTCTTTTAAAAAATATTTTAGAACCATGTTCTTGAATAACTCAAATTATAAAGAATTATTCTATATGTATCTTTACAATTGTTTGGTATACCTATGAATAAGTGAATATGTGTTTGATTTTATATGGGTATATATATAATATAATAACACCTTTTAGTTTTTTACAAATCACTTCAAAACATAATTTAAATTATGGTCATCAATTTTTTTTATACTCGTTAGTGCTTAGCACACTTATACTCTACAAGATTCCTCTCTCCAAAGATGCAAAACTCTATCCCCCATTATAAATAATCCCTCCTCATTATTTTAAACCTTTCTCTCGATTCCCTATTTAGCTGCAGTTCTCTCTACAATCTTCTGTAAGATTCTTCACTAACGCTTCTTCTCTTCTGATTTTCCCTTTCATCGTCATCATATATATTCATATACGATTAATGTAACTATCCTAGTTCTTTACAATCGATCTCTTTCATTTTCGTACATCTCGTTGTATTTGTGTATTCGGATTTATGGGATTTCTCTATGCGTGATTATGCACTTGATGGAATTTTCTACGGATTTAGTTGAATTTGTTTGTTTTCTAGACGGATCTGATTCGGTGACTCGCTTTTTCGACTTATGTCAAATCATCGCTTTCACAGAATATCCGTACACGAGAATGTGCTGAATATCTGTGGAATTTGGAGCACTCTCTCTTTTTTAGTTTAATTTTCGTGATTCATATCGATAGTACACTGATTTTGATCCTTCTTTTTGAGGTAAATCTATGTCATGTTCTTCAATTTCCAAAAAGGAATTACAAAAGCTTACATCGCTTTAAACCCTAATTCAACCATTAGGCGTCCTATCTAATCTGAGTTCTTATATTCGATTCTTTCTACCTTTTTCATTTCTTTCCCCTTTTTTGTCAATTGAGTGTTGAACATCCAATTTCTTCATTGTTTGACTGATTAATGTAATTAAACATTGAATTGTCTTGTTAAATAGTGAAGCTTGATGTTTTTTTCAGATAATCATGTCGTCCATAATTCTTTCTACACCATCCATGTTCAGAACTGCACCTCCAAGCTGCATTCCACCTTCTGCTACATCACTTCCAAAACTCCAATCATTTCTTCCATGAAAGAGCATCTCAAAAGCTTTTGGATTGAAATCTAGCCAATTTTCATGGAAAACCACCATGGCTACATACAAGGTGAAGCTCATCGGACCAGATGGTGATGAAAACGAATTTGATGCGCCTGATGATTGCTACATCCTTGATTATGCTGAAAGTGCAGGGGTCGAGCTTCCATATTCTTGTAGAGCAGGTGCTTGTTCCACGTGTGCAGGAAAGATAGTAGCAGGTTCTGTTGATCAATCTGATGGATCATTTCTTGATGATAATCAAATGAAGGAAGGTTATGTTTTGACTTGTATTGCTTACCCTACTTGTGATTCTGTGATTCATACTCATAAAGAAGCTGATCTTTATTGAGGTCTTGTAGTTGTGTGTCTTTGTTATGTACAATCGAACCTTTCTTTGCATTTTAATTATCAAATGGTAGTTTGTGCCTTGTGGTGGTTTTATGATGCTAGAAAAGTGAAGAAAAAATCTTGTGGTTGATGGATTTTCAAGTCTTGATAAAAATATGGATTTTGAAGTCTTGATATTTTAACAAGATAATTTGGTTTTGGGCCAATATTGTGTTCAAAGTTGAAATGAAGTTGTTTCATTGGGCCAAAATTTTTAACATTTTTTTTGTTCTTTGAATTGGGTTATAGTCTTCTAGAGGTAAACAAAGGCCCAATTATGGAGTTTGGACCAGGCCCAACCTCTACTAGGATTTTGAACACTACCAGTTTTTGTTTTTTTTTTTTAAAGCCTGTATGGGTTTTAACCAGTTTTTTCTGTAACGGTTTTGGTTATATTTTGTTTTGTTTTTTCGGTTTTTTTTAAGTGAAATTGAGCTAAAAAAACGTTCATTTTGGTTATAGTAGAAAAACCCAGGAAAAACCGGTTTCAGGTATTTATTAAAACATGTTACTAATCGACAGTTCGGTTGGTTGTTACATAGAAGTTGGGATGAGATTGGAACATGTTCGTATGGAATTGGTTTGAAAAATGAATTTTATTTTGTTCTTTTGATTTTGAAAATTGTAATAAGAAATTGCAATACATAATTTACTTACAAACATAAAACATAGTATTTATAATCAAAAGTAGGTATGGGTTTCAAAGTCGTATTGCATTGCATTTCTAAATGTTGACATCATTCATCATTGTTGTTTGATCTTGATCCCAATCATATCCCACCGCCTTGCATCGATCTTTATTTGTATCGCTCGACATTTCACACAAATTGTAACAATCTAATATGTTATTTGATGAAACCCGGGCCCCGATGAAAGATTGTGATGACTACATTCAAATGTCATATCTGCAAGCGATTAGTTTATAGAATGTTTTTGATTGTTGAGAGATTGATGGTGTGATTGCACTAACAAATCCACTACCTACATATATACACTAACAAGGGGCAAAATGGTCTTTTAGGTTAAAAATGGCAATATGTCTGGTTGTGAAAAAACGGCTAGTTTTAAACCGGTTTCCCAAATTGGATCGACTCAAACTAGTTTTCACTGGTTCATGGGCAGGAGGTGAAATCTATAGAAACCAAGCTTAAAACCGAATCAATTTAGTTGAAATTGGTTTCTTTGCATGGTTATAAAGGCATCATAATTAAATAATGTTTAAAATAATTCAGTTAACAAGGCAATGGCCCAATAACCGATTAGAAAAGCCTTTTAAACTGTTACTGCTTTTCTTGATCGCATGTGATTAAGGCTTATCTTTGTTACTGATGCGACATAGATCTCCGAGTGGTCTTCTTGACTTCTGCTGTGGCGGACATCTGAGGATTACAAAGCAAAGTCGTCAGAACCGCCCCAGTGACTATGCCCCGAGAGCAGGCTTTAACGATCAAGTTAGATCAATTGGTAAAGATGATATGGTTCTCCTTAGCTGAAGAGAACCATCTTGGTGTTGGAGATAGTGTATGGGCATGGTGGTTGTAGGAGGAGAGTGGCGGCTAAGCTAAGGGGAACTCCTAAGTGGCGGCTGAGCCACCGGAGAAGGTCTAGGGTGACGCTAAGCCACCAGGAGGAAAGTCCTCCTCCATGGAGGAGGAACTATTCACTTTATAAGGACAATTAGGTCAGGACGAATTAGTAAGGAGTTAGGCAAGGTTGCCCGGAGGCCTCGTGCAAGGCTGGCGGGCGCACACCCGGTAAGGCTAGCGGGAATGCTCCATGAAAGGTTGTTAAGGGAGCGCCAAGTCATTAAAATGACCAAAATACCCCTCATAACTTCCATTACTAAATTTTATTACTTCAAATCATTCCTCCTGCAAAAATATGAATGTAGGAAAAAATCATGCGTAAATCCGAGTCCATATGCAAAAGTTATGAAGAAAACAAGAAAACCTCTAATACAAATTTACACGGGCCATGTAAATTAAAACATGCATTTGCACGGGCCGTGTTTTCATGTCTGTACACACACACACAAACTAAAAGTTTTCAAGCACATACAACCTTCATTAATCTGATTGTAAGTACATAACCTAACCATCGAATCCTCAATTCTTTTCCATGTTTCCTAAATTGCCCTTTAGGCAAAACAATCACTAGAACCACTTATATCTCAAGAGATCCTTCATGTTTATGTTTTAATATCATTTCTAGAGTGTCAATTCATGTTTATGAATGTCATTTGCTTCCAATATATACATCATCATGTAGTTATCCTTAGATTTTCCAAAATGCCCCTTATGACCACAAATTCCATGGGTTAATCCAATAACCAATCTATACTTAGTATTTTGCATCTAAATCATTCTAAATTTCTAATCACATCCATTCATGGTTATTAACTTCATTTGCTCAACAATTATACCTTAATGCATAAAATCCATTGATGTCATCACATCTTTCCCAAAATCACCTAAAATTCATGTTTATGCAACATTCTACCATCATGAATGTGTTTGAGTATTCTGAATGTATTCATTGTCATCAAACATCATCTAGGTCATTGAATCCATTCCAATTTAACATATAAACATGAAATCCCCAATATAGATTTATAGGGTTCATGAGGGGTTTTCACCTAAATCCTCAAATCCATCAAATAGGTGATTGTATTGAGATTGGGATCATCAAAAAAACTTAAGGGAGGTTAGAAACCAAAACCCTAACCCTTATAAGAAGTTAAATCCGACATTGGGTTCAAACCCACTTCACAAATTTGAATTCTAGGTGACAAGGAAAAGAAAGTATATCTTGAACAACTTGATTTCTTCAGAACATGCACCAAATGAACCAAGAAGGATTGAGATCGACCCCTAGGGTTTCTATTGAACTTGAATCACCATCCAACCTCCTCTATTCTCCTCCCATCATTCTTATTTGGATAAAATGAAGCGGATTCATTCTTATCTTCGGATTTGTCATATTTGGTCCTTCTAGTTTACATCTTTTGCCAAATTTACCATTTTTCCATTCATTTTCATATTTGCTTAAAAGGTTGACATAATGAGTCCTTGAAAATCCCATCCTTAACATTCCTCATCCATTTAACCTTATAGAGTCAAACATACTTTTCTAAATTGACACTTGGGGACCATTAACTTTGAAATGTTAACATCTCAACCTTTAACTTGCAAGCTTCATATTGACTAATGATATGATTATCATTTAAATGATTTAATTATGTAAATCCTCCTTTATTTAATTGTATTAATTCATTTAAGAACATTATCTTAAAATTTTAGGATGTTACAAATATTTAACCCTTAAAAGGATTTCGTCTTCGGAATTATTCCATGATCCATCTCATTAATATTTCATCCCATCACTTTTCAGTTTCCTTGATGGTCTCATTACTTTGGTCATTTGTCACAATTGTAGTCTGCTTATTGATCAATAATACATAATTAGGGGTTATTAATTATCAATTATCTTGGGTCGCATGGTTGCTGAGAGTCTGGCAGCATGACTGCTAAGATCCCCATAACGCAACTACTAAGACCTGAGCAACGAGACTACCAGGGGCTAGTCAACATGGTTGTTGATAGCTGAGAAACACAGTTGTTGAGGGTTGGGTAAAAAGACTGCCAAGGGATGGTTAGCATGGTTGTTGGGATCTAGGCAACACACAGTCACTGAGGATTGGGCCGTGAAGCTGCTCTTTCATTCATAAGACCAATGTCTTCCCAGGAATGCATGATCATATACAATGTACAATTTTTATCTAGTTCAACTCTTTCCTTGGAATAACACTTCTACCTAGTGTTGTACCAACCCTTCTACTCCACCCCCCCCCCCATTTTAGAAAGGGTGTCGAGTGAGAATGAATGTATATATGATATTGGTTTGTGTTTGAATGTTCAAGCCTTATTTGTATGTCGTCGGGACTTAATGCCATTACTGGATGACTTATATGGGTTAAGCCTGAGAATCACAACAAAGAAAGAATAGACATCAGTTGTCGTTCAGGAGGGGATCCTAGAACGAAGCTCCGATAGTCTACTCAGTATCTAGATGAGAGAATGAGGGTTTAGCTTAAGATAGAGAAAGAGGTGATCCCTTCTATTGGAGGAGAAGGGTTCTTTTATACCTGTTGTCGTGGGGACAGATCCTTGACAAAATACCTTTTGTCCTTTCTAAGCCAACAAGACGTGGAGGCGTCCTATTGGCGGATCATGGTCCACTAGAGGTTTCTCTCTATTAGTGCAAAATTACCATAGGGCAACGTTCCAGGTGCTACACCTGGCGCTCTGGGGGGTGTCTGGTAATATTTCATCTTGCGGTAGACCGAAGCTTCCCGTTCTAGGCCGGGCCTTGACTTTAGAGCGTCGAGACATAAGTGTGAGGCCGCAGAGGCGAGGGCTCATTCCTAGCACTTGTCGAGCAGCGTCTGTTGACTACTTAGATAACAATCTTGTTATATTCGATGTATTCCTAGTGAGATACATTAACAATTCAACTAGGCTAGTAAATGTCAACGTCTACGTGAGTTAGCTGAATTGTTCTATCTTAGACGTGGACACACGTTTGGTGGGGATGGCTTTTGATACTTGATGACGTGACCGAGCCGTCTGCGCAGACGATTTCATCATCGTAATTATTCAGATTTCCATCCTGTATTTAAAACCTTATTTATCAATATTAGTTTCCTTTACTTCTGAAATTTCTTCGTTCTCTCTGCTTTTTCTTTCTCTTTCCATCTTGCTTTGCTCATCGGTCGACAATGACCGCTCCAAATATTAGGATTGTGCCTTCTCCAAGCAAGTTTGCAGATATGCAGGACCGATTTGGTTTCCTTCTCGGTCATGGGGTGGAGTACCCTCGAAAGGGGGCTATTATATCCAGGTCGCCAGAAGGCAAGGTCAGAGTCCCCATACCGATCTTTGAGGCGGGGCTCCAGATGTCGAC